AATGCAGAAAGTAAAAAGTGGGCATAGCATCTCTTAGTGCCAGATTTTTGCACAGTCATCCATTCTACTGAGTCTCTTCTAAGAGTGCCCAGAGAATCATTTGAATTTTTCAGTTAAAAATGACAATCTCTTCACATTGGAGGGGAGGGATGGATTGCTCATGTAAATGAAGCTACAGAACAGCATACTTATTAGCTGAAGGTACATTTGTTATCTGACACTGCAGAATGAATAGCTGGCATACTAATTAGAACATCTCACTAATCTTTGCTTTTATGGCCAAAACGAAGCCAATAGGGAAACTAGATTAGTAAGTTTTTACTTACTATTACTTAGTTTTAAATGAGAAAAGTATAATGGCTTGTTTCATGCATCATTCTGTAGGCTACTCTTGTTATTGTGTACTTAATTAATACCCAGTATGGGCAGAGAAAATGGACAGCTGGAATAGGGTATAGAGTTGATCAACATAGCATATCAGCCTGGGATTCTAATAGAGAGAGAGAAGACTTGGGAGAAGGAACTAAATAAGCTAATTTTTTTGTGTACTAAGTAGACAAAGAGCAGGGGAGGGGACATTATTGGTAAAGATTTAAAGTCATACTTTGTTTTAGCACAAGGTTAGTATATTCACTAGAAGCAATGAAGTCGGTAGCTTGGATTCATACTGATGAGACTGAGAAAATGATTCAGGCTCCAGAGTTCAACATTATGTGGATTTAGAAATACAGCATAAAAACAGGAGGGACTACTTTACAGAAAATATCGAAGTTCATGCATCAAAATTTGTACAAGTCTTAGGCTGTGTTTGTCAACAGTAAGAATCCTATAATTCCGTCTGAAAGAAAAAATAAAATTGTTTTTCTTAATGGGAAAAAACTGCAGACATTTTCAGGCATCTCTTAAAACTGTCACTACCAAAAATGCCTCCTAGAATGATTTTCATTTAATTAAAAATCAGTTCTACTGTTATGCTGCCTTTAGGTATATGAATATCAATTCAACCAATTGTCTCTGAGAAGAACTCAGATCCTTAATTCCAAGTATCACAACACACATTTGATTCTGGTTTATCATATTCCCAGATAAAACTGTAAACACATGATTGGTTAAAACTGCATCAATTTGGAAACTGTTTATGGGACATTCTGTATAATTTATAAGTTATAGTATTAAAATGAGAGCTGTTTCCTAGAGTGTCAGACTTAACTGCTATGATGTGTTTTAGAATGAATAATGTACCAAGCATACCTGTGTCTCATGTTTGTCTCACCTTTGTTTGCACAGCAATGAATGCTGGTGAACACTTCTATCAGTAAAAAGCTATTACACTGTCCAGGCTATAAAATGTAATTCTTTATGAACAGCTGTAAATAGATCAATAAATAATAATGAAAAAGAGGCTAACCAAGTCAAATAAGTATTCTAGCTGTCTTCTGGTTAAAGTTTTACAAAAGCATAATGAGAAATAAATCCATTCCCTTCCATTTATGTAGCCTCAATGAGAAGCAGCAGCTAAATACCAACTGCTCAACAGGAGGGGAATAACTCTGTGGGATGCATAATGTAGCTGGCAGGGAAATGTGTATTTGTTGAATAAGTTTCAAGAAAAGAACATAGAACCATAGAATTATAGAATTGCTTAGGTTGGAACAGATAGATATTAATTTCAGCTGGATGTTTCACATTTCTTCTTTGTTTTATCCATCTGACAAAACAAAACTGATGTAATGAAAATAAGTATTTGAGTTACTATTTGGTCTAGGAGTAAGAATAATATTAACTAAATGTAACTCAAATGTTTTACTTTTTGCATGTCTACTTGGTGGAATTGCAATCTTACAAAAAACAATCTTACTACAACCAGTAAAATTATTCCAAATTTTCAATAGAATACCCCAAATCTTAGAGCTTGTCAGTATAAGAAAAAGCAAACTTTACATTTCTATTACCAACAGAGAGCTGTAATTCACTAACTTGCTTCCAAAGGTCTCTATGGGTACTGCTATTCTCAATTATAAGCACTTTTGAAGTGTAGAACAAACAAAGGAACACTTTGTTCCTCAGTATTAACAATCTGAATAATCCCAAGATCACTTTATTGCACTCTATGGGAGCATATTGCATTGCTTTCTGAACTGGAGAACAGCCATATGACTATGTTTGATACCTAAAAACTTTCATTTCCATGCTTGTAGACTGACCTGATTATCTCTAATCTATTGCTAAAAGTTTTCGGGAGATACCTTTCAATTTCTCTTAAAGTAGCTTCTGTAGGAATTCTGATTGTTGACTCGGTTTATAAAAAAGTCCTTCCTAAAACACAACTGTGTTGGTAGGTAATGCTATTTGCAGGAACAACAATAAAATTGCAAGAAGACAACAGCTATTAACTTTATATGTTGTACACAAGGAATCAGTAATTCATTAGTTTAAAAATCAAAATCAAAACAAAAATAAAAACAAAAAAACCAACACCATAACCTTTCTAAATATAGCCCTTCCTGCTCTCATCCACTTTCTTATATTTACTCAGTATTATTATTAAATTTTTGAGCCTCATTCAGGAACTGACTCAACAGTTCAAGTGACATACAGATGCTAGAAATCTCTCTACATAAAACCTTTTCCTGATTTAAATCAGAGGTACTGAACAGTTATTTATTCATTACCACATGCAGAAATCCACAAGTATATTTGAGTTTTAGAAGATCCTCTTTTCTCTGATCTTATCTTCTATACTAGCAGGTGACAAGAGTACTACATGCAAAATGTTGGTCAGGAAGGCATTTTATGGAGTTCCCCTGTACTGCTCCTTCATCCATGCCAGGATGTCTGTGTCAAAGTCACTTGCTGCCATACAACTGGATTGTCTACCAAAAGAAACCAGAGAAGGGTAGGCAAATCTCCAAGGTCACTCCTGGGTCTCATTAGAATATTTAATCAAAGCACAACTGGTGGCTTTTTTACTGGGATTGAAGACTTCTGATTGTTTTCAAGTTTACCAGTTACCTAATGCATCGGAGCTTTATCTTCCCTTTCTAAGCTATTAAAATATTCCTTTTCTGTTCTTTACATAGATACCAGTATGTCAACGTAATCCTTTTCTGTTCTTTACATAGATACCAGTATATCAACGTATGACTGAGATGCAAAGTAACTATGCAGCACCAAAGTCTGTCCTTGGTTGTGCAGGCCAGAAAGAAATCATATATCCAAGACAAAAATCAAAAGAATATGCTAGTCAAGCCAGTGTCTCATCTCCACAGAGTCTTTTTGATGAATACTCAGGAACCAACATTACTAAGCAACAAAACTCTTACTTTTTAGTCTGTCTTCTATTTTGAATGTGAAATCATCCCTTGCATTTTAATGACATATCATAATTTCAAATACTATTAAAAAATGCATTCTTCTTTAGTGGTGGAATACTACGAATGACGAGTACTCTGAAAGTAATGCCTCTTATTTTATTATGTTGGTCCATGACATCAGAGGTAGATGTTGGGGGAATGGCAGTAGAGGCTGAACCTTCTTGCCAATATTCCATTACATTTTATTGCTGTGTGACAGATGGCAACAGAGGGACAAAACAGAGTCATGCAAGTGTGTATGAAGAGGAAGTATGTCACTGAGTTCCTCCATGCAGAAGAAATTATACCCACTGACATTCACTGGTGCTTGCTGAACACTTATAGAGACCAAACAGTGGATTTCAGCACAGTGAGGTGGTGAGTGGTATGTTTCAACAGTGGTGAGAGTGATTGAGAGACAAGTAATGTTCTGGAAGGCCATGTACACCTGTTACACTACAAAATTAAGAGCATTTCAATGAGCTCATCTCCTCAAATCGGCAGGTTATGACCAGAGAACTCTGTAAGGAGCTGAATATCAGCTTGACTGTGTTGGGATATTCCAGTTTGCATCAGCTGGGTGCCACAGATCCTTACACAAGATCAGAAAGAACATTGTATGTGACTTTTTCAGGACCTGTTGAACAGTCATGGGGTTGAAGGTGAGTGACAGTTTCTTGAAACACATCTTTACTGATGATGTGACGTAGTGTCACCAGTGTGAGCTGGAGTCAAAACTGTAGTTCATGGCATTTGTGGAGTGCTGACATGTGGATTTCCCACCAAGAAAAAAGTTCAAGACACAGACCTCAGAGGGAAAAGTGATATTCACTGTCTTTTGGAATAGGAAAGGGGCATTCCTTCTGGATTTCCTGGAACCCAGATGAATCAACATCTCTGTTTTCTACTTCGCAGTTCTGGCTAAGCTGCAGGCTTGAGTGTCCAGAGTCAGGCCAGAGAAAAATACAACCTGCCTTTTGTAATATTCTCCTAGCAACCATGCCAGCATAGCAGCTGCAAAAGGGTGAGTCACCTCTGTTGGTGCACATTTCAACAAGTGTGGCATGCAAGCTCTTATTACTGGTAAAAAGGTAATAGCTAATGATGGTGACCGTGTTGAAAAAATTTACAGTTTTGTAGCTAAGAATTTGTTCTTCCAAATAGTGTTATTGTTCTCTTTGAAGCACAAAGAATTTTAGCTTTCATGGAAATAAATAGAAGGCATTAATTTTGGAGCAACCTGTGCATAATTAATCTCCTAAAATGACAGAGTAAATCCATGATTCAGTAAATTATCTGTATATATTTTTTGATATGTCTTTGCAATCAAAATTTTCAGTTAAGAATCCCAGACTAATAGAAAGGTAGACATTCTCTTGAGTTGAGCAGCATTATGAGTGTTAGCCAACTAACATGCTAAACATTTCTCTGTCTGTGGCATAAACTGAGAAGTGAAAGATTTTACCATACTGTATGGGAACTGCTGAGTCATGGCCTGGTCACCTGAGGAAGGGACTGAGACAGCCATGGGAGCACAGGTGAAGGAGATTCGCCTGTGTGACAGGAAGGGGTGTAGCCTGGCTGCACCTCTCCCAGACCCCACTTAAGGGTTGACTGCCACTGAGGAAGGATCTCTTTCTGGAGATCCCTTGTCTGTGGAGTCTTTCCTGCAAACGTAGATCTTTGGATATGAGTGAGTATTCCTTTTCTGTTTATTTCTTTTCCCATTCTCACCAAGATAATCTTTCCAGCTGTAACACTATACAGAATATTTCCAAATATGTCAATAAAAATGGAGTTTCCCAGATGGCTAGGTGTCAGGTGTAAATGGCCATTTAAAACTGAGTTGCTATTAATGGAAATATCTTTTACTGTTTATGGTAATTGAGTCTTGTCTTAAAAGTAAGGCTGTAACAATTCAGTATGATGTTGTGATTCTGATGAATGTTACTGAATTTAACTAATAAAATATAAAATGAAGGTATCAATTACAAATACAAGTTCTCTCTGTTCTAGGGGGCTATTTCTCTTTAAGATCATCTATTTGCATAGGTAGTACTCTTTTGTTTTTGATATGATTAAGTATATTGTAATACTGTTAATGCAGTTTTGACAATAATTTTCCGTGAGAATGTTGAGATCATGTTATGCAAGGATTTTCGTATCTTGTTTTGTTATTACAGTAAATTTCTTATATCCATCAATGTAAATGTTCACAGTTGCCACAAAAAGCAGAGACTCTGCAAAAAATTTGGTTTTAAGTGCTGCATTTGCCTTTGCAAAAGTAGATTGTTATTATACTTCAGATTGCTCCCTTGATTAAAAAAATTAGCACGAATTTTTGGGATTGTTTTGTAACGTAAGTTGTAGAAGTTGTTAAAAATCTTCAAGATTTGGGAAGTGTCAAGTCTTATGCACTTTTTATTTCCTATTTTTTATTTTATTTCAGTGCAACATTTTTAGCTTTTTTTTCTAAGTTGTATATCTAGGAAAGATGCAAAGAAGTCGTTAAAAATTGCTACAAACAATTGCAGAAGTGAGAGAACTGGCAAAAGTACTTCAAATAATTCAACATGCTGCTGAAGTTCTCAGAACTGCAATGGTGGATGGTAACTGTGCCAATTGATAAAATAATAATTTTTCAATGAAGTCTGACTCTTATAGAAATCATTTTGTGCTTTTCCTTTTTGTAGAATGACCCCTGTTGGTTCCCCTTTAGAAACATTTAGTTTACATCACATAAGATCAGATTAATATCTTCTGCTTGTAAAGAACAGTTTAAAAAATAGTTGTTGTAATATCAATCTCTCAGAATATTGGTTGCTAAGAACAGAAATTTGAAGACTAACTTCAAAGGTCAGTGTCTTATTTGGGTTACCTCCTGGACTGTATTTAAAGACCACACAAACACCACCTGCTCTAATCTTCCTTTCTGTTGCTCTCAGATCTGCAGATACAAAGGAAATCTTCAAGTCACCAACATAACACTGAAGTAAATTTAAGCACCATCAGAGCGATCAATCTACAGTTTGAGTTTTCTTGAGGAAACCTACTTATAAGCTTATTTTTTAGATGAAGAATTGGAAGTCCAAGAGAAGTAGATAAAGTTTATTAGGCATGCTACCTTCATACGTTATTTATCTGGACACATTTTCACATACAGGAAACCATGTGTAGGTTCAGATGATGATCCTGGGCAGTGGGAACTTTAGCACAACAGTACAGTATTTCAGAGCAAAGTATCTGCAAATAGTATTGGTTTGTATCTGTTGGCTCTAATACTTTGCATTATAGAAGAAAGGAAAAGTAAGAAAAGTGGTAAAATATATTTTGAGGAGGGATGTTGTTCCTTTTCTAAGTGATTTTTTTTTTAATAAACCTGTTTTAAAGTGATAATAATAGTTAAATATTAGCACGAACAGAGTTAATGGTCAGTGGTTATAAGTATAATTCATCTAGAAGTTTTTCCTTGCCTTTCAATGTGTGACTCCTTCAAATGGCTCCTTAGTGCTTGAAGAATCCACTTTCCTTTGTCTCTTGGAATATATTTTTTTTGTTCATTAAAATTAGTCATGAATGTCTCTAGGCCTTCAGTGATACAAGACCTGTGGTCTGTTGCTGAAGAATTACTCTTCTATCTTATGAAAAGTGAATTCACAAATATTTTCAGTACACTCACTTCTAGAGCTGGATGATAAGGCATAAAGACTTGAACAAAACTGACGTAAATTAAAACTCAAATGGAAACTACTATCTCTTATCTCAACTACAAGTGACTGCTGTCTAATAGGAGAAGATACATAGCTCTAAGTTAAATTTATTTTTAAATGCCTCCTTATAAAGAGAAGAAAAAAGTGAGACTAGATGACAGAGTTGATATAGGAATCTTAAAGAAATATCTTATTTGGTAAATAAAACATGCAGTGATATGGAGCAGACTGTTGAACAGGAAATGCTGTAAAGTATATGATCAAAGAACCACTGTGTGCATCAAATGTTACATCAAACAGCATGATATTAGAAAAATTAGATGCACTGTGTCCCAAAGGCAGGTGTCGCTACCATATGCAAAAGATGCTTCCCATTATGTAGAAGAGAAGAGAAACACAAATGAGAAGACTTGGTTGGAATAATGCCACTGACTATTAAAGATGCTCATGTTATGAATTTGGGCCCTGGAGATCTATCTAGGTCATATCTGAAAAAAAAAAAGTGTTAAATATTTCTAAAAATAGCTTAGGTAGTTAGAAAATGAGGGCTGGCTCCTTAGCTCCTTAGGTGAGAGTAGTCGAACATTAAAACAACAAAACTGGAGGAAAAAGAAATCAATAAAGTCTCATATGAAAGAGAATTAAAAAAATAAATTGATAGGTTGTATTTATCTGCAGTACTCTGATGTAAAATTTTATACTTGCAGTGATATTTTTTTCTAAACTACCCTGCTAAGAGCATTCTCTAGACAGGCCATCAAACCTACACACTGATTTAAGAAAAAATCCTCTCTTTTTTTCTGTCTTTTTTTTTTAAAGCAGTTTGTAGCTGGAAAGCTGCTTTTTTTTTTTTTTTTTTTTTTTTTTTAATGATAATGTCTACTGAAAGACCAGGGCATTGCCTGTCCCATCAACAGAGATGTTGCCAAAGAGTCTGGGACCCCTGAAGCTGCTCTGCATGCTTCTGTGGGATACACAACACCCTATTTGATGGTGTTGGCAGCACCAATTTGAGAGGTGTGTGGCAGCAGGAAAACTGCCTTTTCTTCTCCAGGTTTCCCATAGCCAGAAGCCACCCATAGATGTCTTGCAGCAGAAAGCTCTGTCCCAGGAGCAGCAGATGCTTGCTGCGAGGGCAGTGGTGAGCAGGTGTATGTGCTTGCAATGGGGTTAATGAGCTCAGTGAGGTGGCATGGGGGGCATCTGGGCAGACCAGCAGTACCTGGTGGGAGGTAGAGTGGCAGATAGTTGTGTACAGCTGGGTTTGGTGGGAATGTTGCACAGGTCAGGTTACAGCATAGTCTAAGAGAAGGACTCCGCAGGCTGCTCAGAGAGGTGGTGGAGTTTCCTTTTCTGGAAAAGATATTGGATGCCTTGCAATACAACCTACTTTAGAGAACCTGCTAGAGCTGGGGTTTGGTCTTGATCCCCAGAGGTTCCTACCAACACCTATGATTCTGTGACTCTCTGAGAAGGCATTTGATTAGACTTTGCAAGTCACTTCAGTCTCCTTCTGGTATAATTACTTGCTCTTTTTCAAGATAAATGACAAATGTGTTTAAAAGACTACCAGCTCATCTGCAAGTTTTGAACTGTTTAGTTAGAGTAAATTATAGTATAAAGCAAAAGATGATGATTAGATTGTTCTATATGAAATTATAGTGCAGTAACTAACATTGGCTTTATCATGCTGTTGTGATAAAAATTGTTTAAGAATGTTTTTCCAATTGTACAAAGTATTTTGCTTCCCTTCTGGAATTCAAAGAAAAGGAAAGAAATATTGTGAATGGAAAAAGTTACCTTTTGGCAGTAATATACAATAATCTTTCTTCTGAAAAAAGAAAAAGTGGAAAAAAGCTCCTCTATCTAGTAAGATCCCAAAAACCATTCCTAAATTTCAGGAATAATTTGTATGTTATTCATTATGACTTTAAAATTCTTAATTTTAACTTAAAATTAAGTATCTATCTTGCTCAACCATATTCTACAGATAATTGAGATTTTTCAAAGAACTGTTAACATGTATTACTTTCAACGTATTTTTCTCTCTCCTCATGAGAAAACAATTTAGTATTTTAAAATATTGAATATTTAAGCATATTCAGGATCTAAAGCCTAAATTTCTTTCTCTGTCCAGTATTATAAACAGTACTCTATGCTTTTTGACTCTTACTGGAATGTGCCTAATATTATAAGGCATATGTAAGAAAAGTTTATTCCTACTGGCTCTTTAAAATACTGAAATTATTTTTGTAAATATAATGCAGATAAGTGATATATAATTTCACTTGGCAGTAGTGGTTCAGGTATTGCCATGTTCACTAACAATGTCTGTGCCATATTTTCACCAATATTTTCTGTGATTATTTGATAGTCTCTCTGTGTGAATGTGTTGCTTCTAGATTTTCTGACAAGATCCTTGTTGGGAGGCCACTGGGCTAAGGTTCTGGAGATGGTGACATCTTTGGCATGATGGGCCTCAGGAGAAATTTTTGGGCAAAAACTGAGGGATAGATTATTTTTCACTTATTTATGAGGTGAATGCTGAAAAACTGAGTTGGGGAACGTGCATAGGAATACTATATTGGACAGAATAAATTGGGAAGAGTCAATAGTAAGTTATTTCATTAGATAAACAAATCTTAATACTTTTCAGGATAAATCTGCTCCATTTGTGCCTGTTCATGAAAAATAGTGGGAAGAAGAGCTTAGAAATGATAATTTTAGGGCAGGGTGACCTTTCTAGACTTCTAGTCTCAATGAAAAAGCTTTTTTTTTTTTTTTTTTTTTTTGTTGTTTTTGTTTTTGTTTGTTTCCTGAGTCATACCATCTGAGTTTGGGTCTGCCGACTAGGCAGAAGTTGAACTCTGCATGTAGCCTGCAGCCTAAAGATACATCTGCAAGCTAAAGTTCTTCTTTGTAAGTATGTATTTCAGTGTTAGTGTTAGGGTTAGTGTTGCATTTCCACGTAGCTCCATTGTCAGAATGATGGACAGAAACAAGATTTAGTCTGTGCCAGAGTCTTTATGGTAATTCTGAAGCTGTAATGAAGTTCTAACACTGCTGATGAACTTTATGCCGTGTATGTTGGACAACAAAACCATGATCTGTGTCCTCCTTAGGTAATGCCTGCTAATCAAGCTGAAAAATGTGTCTGAATAGGTTGTACATTTATTTGGCTATAGCGCTGAATTTAACCTGAGAAAGAATATGTAAAAGGAGGATGTCTTCTGCTGGAGTTTATTTGGATGGGAAAGCTCAGGAAATTCTTGCTTATCAGAATGTACTGTTAGCTTTTGAATAACACTAAAAATAGAACAAAAGAATCCATTAAATGTTTTGGGTCTCTCCCTCTTTCTCCCATTTTTTAAAGCAGGATGCAGTTAATCTTCTAAAGTGTATTTCAAATGAAAGCTAATGTAGCAAAATGCATTACCCTAATCAAGGAAATGATAATATTCTGTAAGTGTAACAGAGTACTGGGGGGAAAAAAATCTTAATTTGTTTTTTTTTGTCAATAGCTTTAGGAAGTGCAGTTGAACAATTAAAGTAATTTCTGTTGTCTGACTTATCTCCTGCAATTAAAAATTTTCTTGATTAGTGCAGTTCAATTGTTTTAATAAAGGTGACAGCCCATTAAACATAAAAATTGATTAGATGAAACAGTATTTTTGGATAAGATTTGCCCTGCATGATCTGGTGTCTGATCTTCATTCATATCTTATGTGACCTGAATTGTATGAGATCTGAAAAAGAATAAACTTGCTGGTCACTATTTTTATTTTGTAGACAAGTGCTTGTGATGTTAAAGTCACTCTACAATTTAACTAGGAGGAAACATTAAGGGAAATTGCCTTCCTCCTCCTTGAATCTGCATCTTAATTTCATGTTTTTGTTTTTTTAGTATTTCTATTATGGGAGATGTAAAAAAGTTATTCATTTTTCTGTTTCTCTGTGCCACAAAGTTATTCCGTGATATTACTCATCTGTCTTTTCTAGGCTGAAAAGTCCCACTTTGTTTCATTGTTACTATAATAGGAAGCATTTCATGACTATAATATCTGTTACTCATTCTGTAACTCTTCCAGTACTTTCTGACAGCGAGGGGAATCAGAACAGCAGGCCATGCTCATATATATCTGTGCATGGATTCATTTATGTTGTTCTCAAAAGAAAATAGACCAAATAAATGAATCCCAAAACTCTATTAAAAAGAAAAATATTTCCCACAAAATGTGTCTCAGATATGATACACTAGACAGTATTTGAAAACATAGTAGTTTTCTCAAGCCCTCCTTTGAGTCAGACTTCAAAGAGATCTTCAGGCTCCAGAGATGTCAGTTATTATCATGCAGGTGTATTCAGTTTACTTGCTATCCTTCTGCTCTTTTGTGGTCTGCTGGAATTTTAGTAAAGTACACGTGAACTTGTCTTTAGTTTAGAAAAAGAATGTTATTCTTGACCAGCTCCCAAAATATTTTTAAGTAGTTCTTTCTGCCTGTTAATTCTATTACTGCTGGTCTAACTGGAAACTTGAATATGTTTCACTTTTTACAGAAATAGGTTTTGCTGTTATTTTACAACAGTCATTAATGAATGTATTTTTGATATCTGAATATATAAATTATATTCTTTCTCTTTTCTGTTTAGAAAATAGTTCAGCTGCTGACCAGCACAGTGAGGGAGGGAATTGTCCACTTCTACTCTGACCTTACCAGGCCCCATCTGGAGTACTATGTCCAGACCTGAGGTCCCCAGCACAAGGAAGATGTGGACCTTTTGGAGAGGGTCCAGAGGAAGGCCACAAGGATGATCAGAGGTCTGGAGCATCTCTTGTACTGAGACAGGTTGAGGGAGTTTGGCTTTTTCAGACTGGAAAAGAGAAGTTTCTCTAAGGCCTCACTACAGCCTTCCAATATTTAAAGAGATTGTGGATGCCCTGTTCCTAGACATGTTCCAGGCCAGGATGGATGGGGATGTGGGCAGCCTGATCTTGTGCTTCATCTAGTGGTTGGCAATTCTGCTCATAACAAGGTTGAAAATAGTTGGAGGAGACCTCAAAGATCACCTCAAGACATTCTGCAATTCTTAAAATGTCTTGGTTTCTTTTGTAATATCAGTGTGTTGAAAATAATACCTCCTAAGACACTAATAATTCTGCCTCCAAAAAGTGCGTACAACTTCACTCCAACTTTAGAAAAGGATGAATTACACTTTCTTTTTAAACATTAGAAATTCATTTGGCAACTACAGTATTGTCGAAGCAAATTGATTTATAAGATGCCAGGATCTCAACCATTTTCTATATAACTGAACAGTGAAATAAAGGCCTGGGGAAGTAGTGATGATGTCCAAAAGAGATGTTTCCTGCAAGTGATAGATAGACCACTGGTTTTATGGAAGAGTGAGGTGGTGATAATACTTTCTTCTTGCATATTACAAGCCCTTGCTTAACCATAATTTGCAACATTCCACTTTCATAAGCTAGAAAGTTGTCTTACAGGACATGTTGAAGGACTTTGGCCTTCAAGCAGCTAAAGGAGAGGAACACAGCTAACCTGTTGTTTAAAGGATGTCTTCAAGATAACACTGTTGTATATGCAAATACAGACCTTTTGCTACTATGGTAGTGTATTTGTCTTACTTTTAATGTGTCTTAGATGACTAAAATTTCCCCAGATGTTTATTCTCATTTACAGGCAGCAATAGAATTCATTGTAGTGAGATTGTCTGAGACAAGTTGAAGAGACTATCCTTCATAAAAGAAACAAATACATCTTTCTAGGCTTCAGTATGTGCCTCTTACTGAGGAGATGATTCAGGTAAAGACACCAGCCTAAAGCAGATCATTGAAACCAGATTTTAAATGCCCTGAGGTCAATGGTTGTTGAATTCATATTGAGTTTGATGTTTGCCTCACTGATTTCTTATTAATGTTTTTTAAAAGCCAGTGTGTTTGTATTGTTGTTTGTTATAAATAAAATTAAAAAAAAAAATTTATTCTGCGATTAAAATACAAGTTAAATAGTGATGTGTCTTCCTAAGAATTTTTGTTACTTATTTTGTTGAATTCATAAAATAACTTGCATGTGTTTTAGTTAAATGTATTACCAACCAGCTAGCTTTTATGCTGGTGGAAATTAATGATTACTATTACGAAGTACTATAAGTACTATTACTAATTAAATGAGCACCCAACTCAGATTGAATCTCCTAAGGTTTTGTGTATAAGCTAGTCTTGCCTGGGTTCATAACAACCTAAGAATTTTCTACCTTATTAATCTTATACTACCTTACTTACATAGAAACTGTATTTTTTTTTATAAATACCTGTTTTTACCTTGTAAAAGGGGCTCAACCATTAGGAGAGATAAGAGGCAATATGAAATGTACAACAGGACTTTCATCTTTAGTATGTACTTGTTTCCACTTTTTTGGAACCGAAGGGCTCTGTTTTTAAACTTTGAAGCAAGATGAATATTTAAAGCCCAATCTGCAGGGCCAATTTTGTGTTTAGTGGGAAGTTTGAGAAGAATTGTGATTCTTATAGCTCTCCTGAGCTCCAAGAGAAATTCTCCCCTCTTCATTTTCCCCAACTTTCATAAATAAACTGAACCTAATTGATCACAGTGACTGTGTGGGATGAAGCATTGTTCAAAGGAGCCTGTCCTCTTGCTGCTCCCCGGCTGCCTTTATTTTGTCAGAGGCAATGAACGGTAAATCTTCACAAATAAGGCTGTCTTCTAAGTACTGTGTGTTTGAGTCCCATAGACAAGCATAACATCTATCGTTATCTAGCTTCAACTTCACAACCTCTAGGATGGTTTAAGGCAGAAGTCTGACATTTGTGAAGTCTTTATACTTTTTTTGAAGACTTCTGAAATAGGAAAAGATGAAAGTAGTTCTGTTGAAGCCATTGTATTTTGCCAAATCCCCAGTGCTTGGTTCTCTTTAACAGCATCTACCTTTCTTAAGTACTGCTGTTTTTTCATGTGGAAGAAAAGTCTGCTTTGCAGTCTGACTTGTACTGAAAAATGTGATGCAACAAAGTGTTCTTTATGTGGGAAAGAAAACACCTAGACTTTTACCTTAAAATATGTGTGCATTTCTTTACTTACTACTCCAAGTGTAGAGTACTGCACTTGGGTCAGGGCAATCCCACATGTGTATATACTGGGAGAAGAACTCTTTTAGAGTAACCCTGCTGAGAAGGGGTGCCGGTAGATTAAAAAAAAAAACAAACAAAACTTAACATGAGACTTCAATGTGCACTTGCTGTCCAGAAGGCTAACTGTATCATGGGCTGCATCAGAATAAGGGTGACCAGCAGTGAGAGAAAGGGCTGAGAGAGTTGGGCTTGTTCCTTCTGGGAAAGAGATCTTCCATTACAGCCTTCCAAGTCCCATCCAACTCAAGACATTTGATGATTCTGCATTGAGAATATTTTAAACATGGCTAAAGGAAAATGCTTTGGTTAATGATTCACAAATTTCCCATGCCTCTGTGGATATATAACCTTGTTTCAGCTGGGGCAGAGTTTATTTTCTTCACTTTGTCTGGTATGATGCTTTCTTCTGGCTTTATTTTGACTTCCGGAGAAAAATAAAGAAAAAAGTGTATGTTATAATGTATGCGGTGTGTGTGAAACGTTGTGTGGTGTTTAGCTGCTTGCCAGGTTAAACTACAAATTCATAGAGTTTTTATAAAGTCATCATTATCAATGAGACCCTAGAGTTTTCTATATGTGAGGTTGGCATCTTGTTTTATTTCTATTGCTGCACTAAGGATGCAATATTATTACAAACTCATCAACCTAACTCATTCTTCAGCTCTATATTAAATATGTGATTGTTAAAAATGGTACTGAATAGGAGTGCTTACTTTAGGTGAATAGTAAGAACCATACCTGAAGAATAGAAGTGTTCAGAACAGAATTCTGGAATAAAATGTCTCCTCTGATTGTCCCAGAAAATTTTAGCGCTTTTATGAAATCCTGTACTTAGAATTTCAGCTTAGTACTGTATAAAGTTTAGGAAGTTCAAGTGAGATAAAACATGTTGGATATAGAATAAAAAATGTTGGAATGCTGAAGTATTTTATTAGAAGGCATTAAGCCAAGCCTGAAAAATTTGACCCCTGAACATATCAGAGATGAAACTGAGCTCTGAATTTTGTAAGAAACCTTTAAAAAAGAACTACTGTTATCTATTGATTGTTGTCATTATTTGTTTCCAGATGCTCATGTGAAGGAGTGTGAGCTGGTTTCCGTGGGAGACATTTCTGGAAAATTAAGAGAGAGGCTGATGAAATTCAACTGCAAGACTTTTTCCAGGGAGAAGGTTGAATTGATATTAGGAAATCTGAAAATTGGATGGTCTTTATGATTTTGATTTGTTTGTTATTCTCACAACTGAAAATAACCTAAGTTGCAAACAGAACATACATTATCTGTTTATTTCTGTGAACAAACAAAAAACCCGTGTTTTCAATTGTTACTCTTCTTTGGCATGTAAAGATGTTCTTCCTGATTCTGTAGAAATATTGCATAGCACAAAAATAATGTTTCATTTGTGAAAAATTTCAACAAAATTTGCCTACCTGTGTGACATACTGGAGGGTATCTGCATTAGCAAGGGTTAGACTCTGTGATTTCTTGAGGTCCCTTCCAACCCATGTGGTTCTGTTATTCTGTATTTCTAGTGTTTTTTTTTTTTTTAATACCTATTTTTTTGGCTAAAAAAAGGCAGCTTACAGATTGTTATTAAAGTCTTTTCCTAAAAAAGTAAAACACTAATTTTGAAAAATATCTTTAAACTGTCACAAATTAAATGCAATTTTCAGTATGATGAAATAAGTGCAAAAGAATAGTAAAATACTTTAATTTTCCAATGAATAGCAGTTTCTGATTTGGAAGTGCTTATTTATTCAAGAGGTTGGAATGGGATATTACCATTTAGATGCTAATGTAAGAAATACTATCAATGTCCAGAAAAGCCAATTGTGTTGCATTATTATTTACTTAAAATTTAATCAGTCATGTTCAAATTCTGGAGATTATTCAGTAATATTTTTATTCAGTGCAGTAAGTTTGAAACTCCAAGCTTTATGCATTTAGTGTATGTATGGGTTCAAAATATTCTGAAAATATTTCAGACAGAAGTAAGAAATACTTTATTTTCAGACTTTTAAATGAATCATCTACAAAAGCCATCCACCATTTTATGCAAAATGTTACTTTCCATTTCTGATGTCCTGCAAAAGAAGGGTGTCTGAATTGATTTTGTTAAAGGGACAGCACTGCATGTTGCAATTTGCAACTGCACTTAGAGATGTGTGGTTATTAAAGTCTGGCTTCAAATGTAGCTGTTAGAAATGTTCACAGATATAGTGAAGGTTACTAAAACTACATTAAAAAAGAAATCAGATATACATTTTTATACACTCACCTAGCATATATATATGTATTTACACATGTGCACACATGCTTATGCATGCACATATTTGCATACATGTGACCACATTCAAATTTATGCATGTGTGTACATACATACCTATACACATGCAGTTACACACACAGAGAAATGTATTTATTCTCATTTCTGCACACACATCTATATATCTATACTTGAGCATATGTCTTTCCATGCACGCACAAATTTACTCCACAGCATGGGTGGGTACTTTGTTAATATGACAATAGTATCTTAAAGAGGCAAATATAATGATGAAATATTACAGCAAATTCTTTGTAAGCATAAAAAGAAGCAAGGAAGAAATAAAAAATATACTTATTGGATAATTTGATAAATAAACAAGGAATTTGGACACACAGGAATTGTTTAAACTGGAGTATTAACATCTAGCATAAATACTTAGAGAGAAGAAACTAGTAGAGAGCATTAAAAGACTCTTTATGCTCCAAGAAATGTGGAAAGATATTCAGTGCAACAGACAATACAAAGTGAAGAGGTAAGTCATGATTGCCTTTGTCAAGAGAAAGTGTTTCAAGAATAAGGACACAGTGAGATGAAGATCTAAACACCTGTTCTGGCTGAGTAGGGATACAGGAAATGTATTTAGCAATCTTAAAAAAAAAAAAAAAAAAAAAAAAAAAAAAAAAAAAAAAAAGCATCATAAAACTCACCAAGATTTAGACACATCCTGCAATTGAGGATTTATCAGGGTCAAAAAAAAAAAAAAAAAAAAAAAAGCATGGATTTATATACCACAGTGTAAAGCAATGTAGAATTTAATAGGATGTATGGTGTTGCTCTGATGGATGAGAATGCTGTTAAGAAGAGGAAGGGAAGGAATTAAGAGCTTTGTTTAGTCAAATTGTGCATGAGCTAATAACTACAAACCTAGGAGTTATTATTGGAAGAAGACGACAGAACTTCAGTTAGGTTATTATTTCTGCAGTGAAGCTGACCTTCAGATATGTAGTCTTTTCAGGCATTGGTGCTTATGAATGAAAAGTGTAATCTTGTTACACCAGAGGGGAGAATCCATGAAAATATAAATGGACTATCTGTTCAAGAGAAGTAATAACAGTAAGGATGAAGAGAAAAGGAAAAACTAGCAGAGAAATGAGATAGGAAAACAATGAATCTATGGGAGAGGAGTGGGTATAAAGTAAGTGGACCATGAAAATGTCATGAGTAATTCAATCAGCATTTTTCAGGGATATAATAGTAAGACATTTCCCTTCAAAATGAGACTAAATGAAGACAAAACAAAGCTTAGACTTGACAGACTTTGTGCAGTATGTCAATGGCAGAGTGAAGAACTGGTTTCAAATCTTATTTCCCTGTGCTGCAGTCTGTCCAAACAATAGCAGCATATGATAACTATGAAATACTGTAGGGAGAAAATGTGCTAATAAGGTATTTTTCTTCATTCAAGAATAGCAGGAGGGGTAAAATATTGATGAGTCAAAAATAAACAGTGAAATGTGAAAGTAAAAATAAGGATAATTACAACAATTGCAGTTATTAATGGATGTTTAACCCTCCAAAGTCAGAACAATGACAGTAAAGTTCACTGGGTATGTGTATATTTGGAATGTTTGCAAGGGTGAATTGTGATAGAACAAGGGGGAATTGATTTAAACAGAGACAGGGGAGGTTTGGTTGGATATCAGTAGGAAGGTTTTCACACAGAAGGTGGTGACATGCTGGAACAGGTTGCCCAGGGAGGTTGTGGATGCCCTGGAGGCATTCAATACAAGGCAGACAAGGCTGGATGTGGCTCTGGGCAGGCTGGCCTAGTGATTTGTGACCTTGGCCCATGGCAGGGGAGTTGAAAATAGATGATCTTTGAGGTCCTTTTCAACCCAGGCCATTCTGTGATTCTATGATTTCAGTGCATAAATCAAGTCCTGCTGGCGTGCTCTCATTGAGACATGGCTCAGATATTTTGAAGACTGAAATGTTGAAAGGACTTGGTTATGTGCAGGCAGAAGAGAGGTCTCCGTTAGAATGTACCTTTTTGTATAACAAGTAAATGGTGGTTTCAGGTGGTCTCAGGTGAGCGGGGAGGATCAGTCCCTTTAGTGCAGCTGTGAAATTATCTTGATCAGTTGCTGCAGCTGGAGATAAAAGCCTGCCTTCCCACAGGCTTGTCACTGTCTGTATCTTTGGATTACGAATTCGTTGATTACTCACAGTATCTGGAACTGTAATTTAGTTTAACGTATTTTTGGACTATTTCAGAAGGGTAATATAAACAATAGAGACAATTTTCTATACTTATATTCATGAAAAACTAAAGGGCTGAAAACAGTGTTCAGTCTTGTGACAGAAGTCTTAACGTCTCTATAGAAATGTGTGCATTCTTGAAGGCACTTTGTTCATTTAAGTTTTGAATGAACGCTGGATCTTGAGTGAAATGTACTGGATTTTGATTCAGATATAGAAGAAGCTTGTAACTGAATATTTACCTACTTAGTGTTGCATTTTCACTAATCCACAAGGGAGAGTTTGTGTAAAGTTATAGCCTTTGCTTTAAATTGCTATGGATTTCACTATCTTGCTAATGAAGGATGATGAGCGATGCAAGGATTTTTATGTTCGTAAACCTTTCAACCCTGAAATGCACAGCTCTGCAGCATCCTGAATGTTTTATCAGCCTACTCTCAAGCCTTCTTTCATCAACGCAAGATGATTAAGCAGACAAATTTCTCATACTGAAAGCAATATCTGTAGCTATTTGTTCTCTAGAGACCAGTATCAATCCAGTGCTGTCCATGTGATGCCAAATACAATTTATGCAAATTATTCATCTGTATTGAGAAATTAATGATTTTATATCTTCAGTTTTTCTAATTCACTTCTTGTACTCATTAGACTACTTAGATCAAAAGAAATGAAATATTCAAGGATGCTTTTCATAAGACATAGTTTGCTCTTCAATGATAACGACTAACAATATGATTGCCCACCTCTAAAATATATTGTGAATGTCTCTTCTATATGTATTATACTGATAATTAGTCTGTTCTGGATTCTATAGTTGGTGTGTACAAACCTTTCATACTTCTGCATTTAATATGGTTTTTGTCTAAGAATATGGATTTATAATGCTTTTTTTCTAGTGCATCAATGTTTTCAAAAGTTTACTTTCACAAAAATTTCTTTAACAACATTCAAGTCAATCGTTTTTTTTCTTGTACCCGTAGGTCACTGGTGCATAGACAACCCAATGTGAAGCACTGTGATGAGGTATAGACTATTTCTACATCCAGAGTGAGTGAAACTCTACCAGAATTGCTTTAATTATACTGATGAGGACCTCTGAAGCTCACACCTTGTAAATTTAACTGGAGTGTGGTATACCTAAAATACCTTTGATGAGCTGAAATATATCTGACCACTGTGAACCACTCTCTAGAAACTCTTTATTTTCATTTCAACTTTCCCAATTTGTAGTGCATTCTGGAGTCTTAACAGTGAGATGAATCATATTGTTCAAGCTGTCCAAAATGTTTTTTCTACTCAGTAGAAAGAAATATGTATGTGGATTCAATAAGACTGATTCATGCCAGATTCTCCCAGAGCTTGTAACAAAGAAAAGTAGTTAAGCATCTTTCTCTTCACAGACTGCTGGGTGACTAACTCAAATTTTGGTGTTCAATTTCTAATTTGTATGGTAAGATTGTTATATCTAATTTAGCTGTATCTTTATTTTGTTCAGAAGAGCCTATTTTCTGTAGTATTTCTCTCATGTAGTCTTTCTCCAAAAGCATAACATAATAAATGTGTAATGTTTTTTGGTGTTACAGGAAGAAACGTCTTTTTTGAATCTGAGAGGTTTAAGTTTGATGGTGTACAGAAAAAAAATATCAGCTGAGATCCGAATACAGAATAGAGAATCTTAAAGAATGACAGTGGAGATTGGTCTGAGTGAAAGGGACTCTACAGATGTATTTCTCTTTCCAAGGAAGAGATGGAAAAGGTTAGCAATGCATTTCCCCATAGTGGTTTAACAGTGCTTCCTTAAATGTCATTACTTGAAACAGTATAATATATGCATTTTGCCTAAAAGAATACAAGCTTAATGTAATAATAATGTTACTAACTTCTATTCAACCCAACTATGTTGCGACTTCTGAAGATGTTTCTGAAAAACTTGTAGGTTTTACTTTGACACAGAAA